GTTTCGCGACAAGGACCCCCCCGATTCCTGTGACGGTTGACACTTTTGAGACGCGAAGACCCGAGACGAGTCCAAAAGTGACGACAGTTCTGCGTTTCGCGACAAGGACCCCCCGATCCCTGTGACAGTTGACACTTTTGAGACGCGAAGACCGGAGACCATTCCAACAGTGACGACAGTTCTCCATTTCGCGACGACTTTCGTCTCTCCGGCATGTCCGACCTTCCGCGAACGATTGCAGACGCTTGCGTCCACAAACGCAACGACCTCGCGTCGCCTCCTGGACCCCTGGACCCCAACTTTAAAACGGGAACCCTTCTGCTACGCATTCGGGAAAATAGGTTGAGTGTGAATGACCCGATGTAACAAACTAGTCGTCAGAGGGGCTGGACTGGCTTTGGGTTGTGTGGTTCGGGGTGTAGGAGCAGGGTATAGGCTGTCAAGGTTCAGATTGACCGCGTAGGAAGCTCCTAGGCTTCGCCAGACTGTGGGGCAATTATCTGAGAGGTTGGCAGAGGGGCTGCCAGCCAGTCCACACAAGAATGCTTGGCATTGCTGACGTATCCCAATCTATTGCTATTTTTTGTGACCATGTCTTTAAATCCAAACAGACCCTTAATCCCTGAATCCCAAAACGCTTGACGTGGACATTCCTAGGTATGCATGAGAACTGTCTATGTAAATGTCAAGGCATTGCGAGCGCAGTGCAATCCTTGAGGTTGCTTAGCATTTACGGGGCTTCGGCCATTTGTCGTTGTTTGGCTTTGTGGCATCAGCTGGGCCAGAACGCTGACCCCCCGCTGACATTGTAGCATATTGTAGCCATGGCTTGGCTTGCCACACTTTTTGTCGCGCTTGGTGCGAGCGGCTTCAAGCTCCAGAGCAACCGCAGCACCGTGCTGGAGGACAGCTCGAATGCATGGGAACTTGTGCTGAAGGTGACGGAAGATGACAGGCTTCGGGCCTGTCCAATGGAATCTCGGGCATTTTTGTTTTGGGCGTACAGAGATATTTAATTGCAACTGAATTTTCAGCAGTTTAGATGGCAACGCAGGTTTGGATTTTCTTCTCCGTTGTGGACGAGCGGCGATTTGCTCAACCAGATGTCGCCGATTGCGCAGGAGATTAATGCCAAGTGTGACGCATTCAATACGATACCGTTCAAGAAGATACGCATGTGCATCGGAAGCCCGACGTCTATCTGTGTTGTGCACACCTTTTCCAAACCATGGAACAGCGCGAAAGCCCTTTTCAGCTCTGGGTACAACCGGGACGAAACCTAGCCAAATATTGCGTATTGCTGTTTTGGATGTGCAAGGCAATGTAGTCTTGCATTCTTGAAGCAACCACAAGCAGCTCAGGCAACTGTGGATCGTGATGGTATCCTGTCAAAGTTTGGCGTGACGAAGGGTACTTATCAAGATTGTCCCATGCAGCGGTCCCCTGCCTAAAACTTTGGTGCCGCATGTTTGGCATGCCAGGTCAAACGTCTAAAGTTTACCCATTTGGATGTGCGGGGTTTAAGGTTCAGGGGTGAGGGATGGTGAGGGTTTGAGGAGCTTTGAAGGAGGGGCATGTTTTGGGCTTTGGGGTTGTGATGGTTTTCGAAGTGAAAATTCACGGAGCTGCAGCATCTTATCTGAAAGTTGACTTTTCTCAGCAGCCATGCCAAACGCACGAAGTATGTTTTTTTGAGGTTGCAGCGTTTGAGAGGTAGGCTTTGTTCTGGATGGCTGCATGCGTTGCTGTAAGCTAGGCTGTTCCGTGCCATCCGGCCGTATAGGAGCTTCGGAGAATGACCAATGCTTTTGTCTGGCTGGTAGAGCATTGTTGAACCTGAAGTTTTTTAGTTGATTGCAAGATGCACTGGTTGACGGCTGACCATTTTGCTTGTCTCATGAAGGCCTTGACACTTAGACCGCAACCTTAGCGCCTGAGCCTTAGTCTTTAAAGTTTGGACTTGCTGTGGGGAAATATGGGTTCAATCCGGTACTTGTCCTGATTCTATCTACTTGGTATTAACGAGCGTGAACTTGTACACCCGGTTCGGACATTGCTGACATTGTTGAGGCCTGGTTTCAACATCCAATGCAATGACGGCAACAAAGCTCGCTGGGGGTTCTGCCTGAACTGCGCCAGTCACTTGCTGTTTCTTAGTGACTGTTGGTAGAGAAGAAGAAATGGAACGCACATGGGACATCAGCATGTTCTTGGGGATTTTATTGTATGGCTACTTACCAAGTAAAGTCAGGGCTGCCAGAATGATGACAGCAAAGATGCAGACGCAGCCATCGGTATCGGGATCGCAGGGCAGAGCACTCCCACGGAGATGGGAGCGGGCTGGACACAGTGCCGCAGTTGCATGAAGTCTTGGCTTTCTGATGGGCTGCCATTCCTTTAGTCTTGGGTATGCAGGTTCTTGGCATCAGGAGCGGGCGCCTGCAATGCCAACAGCATGAAGTTTAAGAAAGCATGGCTTTGGGTTGCCAGCCTGGAAGCATCGTCCAAGCCGTACAGGCTGACCAAGCACAAGTACAAGCCCGTCATGAGAATTGCCAAGGCGATCTCTAAGAGCAAACCCACATGGCTCGTGTTTCAGGTTGCTTGCGCGCTTCATCCCGCAGTAAGCCTTCATGCCTTGCGCCTGATTACTTAGACAAAGTAGTCCTGCGATTACGAAGCAGCTAATGATTGAACACCAAAATCTGCGGGCGTTGGTTATGTTTTCTTGACGGAAGTTTTCACCTAGATTAAAAAACGCATCAAGCATAGAAACAAGAACGCCGTGGATCGTCAAAGGTGCGCAGCGTATTCTACAATCAAGCCGGCAAAGGGCTATAGTTTCAACAGTGTTGCAAGTCGAAATGTTTTTTGAAGGCTTCCTTTATGATCCTTAAGGCCTTAAGGCAAACCAACATCATGTTCTTATCGATCCCATTCTGTGGGGTTCCCAAACATGCCTCCTTTTGGACAACGACATCGCTCCTTTTCCCTTAATCCGGAACCATTTCTGTTACCTTTGCTCATGTTTTTGTTTTGTTAGTACCCAAATTAGCGCCCAAGCCGTGGCAGACCTCCACCCTTGGCTTTTCTTCAGCATATTGGAGCAGCGACCAGCTGTTGAATGAGAATTCGCCCGTTGATGCGGAGGAGGACTTGCTATGGAGAGTTTGAAGAGTTGATTCGGATTCAGCTGCGGATGCTGTGGTTTGGCATATGTTGGAGCTCTACCGCTAGATTTTAGTAAAGTGGGAGTTGTTGTCTTGAAGTTTCCCACGTCCCAAGTTTCGTTAGGAGCGTGGTTCAAGTTTGACAGGGTCTAGATGGCCCTGAACGCTCAGTGGAGGCACTTTCTGCTTTCTTGGTAGATTGGCCTACATCCAAAAGCCCCAGCCCGACAAGTCGGATACTGACCAACTATCCACATACAATCCCTACCTACCACCAATACATTTTAGTGGAGAATAACTGTCTAAAATACCCGGCGGGAAGCCTAGTCCGTGAGCCGTGAGCACTTGCTCAGTAGTTTGTGTGCAGGATGCCAAGTACCAAGCATACCTGGACGAGCCACTGGATCTTCCTTGCAAATCGTTCTTAGTCTTTCATTCTCGACATGAAATGAATTCGTGGACGCATGATGCCTACTTTTTCAGGGCTGCAAGACTCTTCAGTAGATGTATATTCAACTTTCGCATAGGGATCCGTGCGTTTTGAGTTGATTTAGAGTCGCACTGCAATTCGAATGCCTACATTCCAGGAACTCTGCAGGCTCTATGATTGTCAAGTTCTACTTGCTGGTCAGCAGGAAATCACAAGCGGGAGAGTAGGTAGGGTACTTACAAGTGTGTCCAAAAGTTCATGACTCGGCTTTACTTGCCTGTGAATTGCAATCCCCAAGCTGTCCCTCTCTGAACAGTAAAGGCCAGTTCAGTCCATCCGCATGTGCGTCAAAAAACCGGATTCCAATTGCGTGACCCACACCTTCAGCAGTACGTACAGCAGTGCCAAAGAGCTCTTTACCTCCGGCTACATCCGCGATGCCGCGACCGTGATGGCATCTTAGCCACCTTCGACCCTACACCCGGATAACTGGATTTTGGTTGGTTTTGGATTTAGGGAAGTTGTTGAACAACTTCGAGAGGATGAGTATCAGAAAGAAGGGATGGCGACAAGGTGATCTTTGCCCTCTTGAATGCCCGCTCGCGAGAGAGGGACACGACAGATGAGATTGGGGAGCACATCACGGAAGTCTTCATGCTGAAGGCCAAGGAGGGCAAACTCTTGAGGATTTGGACCACGATGCCGAGGATGTAGGCCTTAGTGCAAGCCGCATCCCCCCTGCCTTTTACTACGACGTGAGTAATGGGCGAGTGGATCTCGTTCTGACCACTCATGTGGATGACTTCCTGTGGGCCTGTACCGAATCAGGACAGGTAGTCATGGACAAGTTGCTTAACCGCTTTGAAGTCGGAAAACGTGAGATCGGCAGACTCCTTGCTTGTGGTAAGCAGTTCTCTCTTGAAGGGGAGGACGTGTTGATGGATGTCACGGACAACACGACCAAGACCACATATATCGACATCAATAAGAGTCGAAAAGCATCCGAGCCAGTCACCTGCGGTGAGGAGCGACATTTGCGTTCCTTTGTAGGCTCACTATCGTGGATCTCGCGCCAGGCTCGTCCAGACATACTTTACAAAGTGTCCCGACTGCAAAGTAGCATGGAGGGTGCTAAGGTATCTACCTTAGGAAATCAGGTACTGAAGTTGGTCTGAGACATCATTTTTGGCAGCCGAGACTTTATGAAGCTAGGTGTCCTCACAGCTTCTGACGCTAGTTTCGCGGGAGAGACTCAGTTGAAATCCCAGCAGGGGCTAATACACTTCCTGCGTCCAGCTGAGGAGTTGCTCGATCCCGACAACTGTCTCCTTGACGTTCTGCTAGTGTCGTACAGCAGCATGAGGATTGAAAGGGTATGCAGAACAACCCTGCAAGCAAAGACTTACATTCTCCAGAATGCCCAGGAAACAGGCGACAAGATACGTGCTGTACTTGCCGACATCTAGTGCCGGGTCCGAGGACTGCGACTTACTACCTTGTGATCGCGTGGACTGGTGCGACACTGCCACTCAGGCCGCTGACTGCTTTACTAAGGCAATGAAGCCGGATTTCCGCTGGACGACCCTCAGCTCATGCTCCTATGAAATTAGTAGAGCTAAGCTGTAAACACTCTGTGTGTATGACTTGGGGGCATACGTATGACCATTTATGGCATACAATGCAGCTTAATTAGTGCATGTGTATCTAGTGGAATACCAGAGCCCAAGCCGTGCTGGCCGCAGATGCTTGAAAAAGATCGCTATTTGCCTCTTCTATCACGTAGTTTTGTTGGTTTAGTACGCAAACTGACCAGAGAACAGGTTGAGTATGAATGTTTCCCTGATGTCAGTGTAGGTAGCCTAGATCTGCCTGTACAGTGCTGGACGTATATGCCGGAGGCGCCTTGAGTCAAGCTTAAAAGTGGCCATCCCTATTACTACCGATAGCATACTAGTAACTATCTTTATTAGTGGGCGCGGGCTCAACCCAAGCAATGCCCACTTGCGCAAGGGCTGAGGCAACTTCTGGGGCGCCTAGAGCAATGGGTTCTAATGATCAGAAGGAAGTTGTCGTAACGATCACTGTAGAGGATTTCTTGATGGTTTTTTGTACGGATGGCTTCCTTCAGCATTCATTCATCAATCCATCATTCATCAATCAACTCCTTCTTTCCCTGCTCACCGGAAAAACAAGTCTTTGTTTGAAATGTGCTGCTTGCCTTCAGCTATCAGATAGAGGCTTTGGTCATACGGTTTTCGAGTTCAAGTCCGGGCCATGGGATCTGCACATTTTTCGAAAAACAGCTAAAGATCTTGTAGTATGTTCCAGAACCCTAAGCCTGAATGCATAAGACAGGGTCTAGGGCCGAATATCGTGTACGCTGGTGCGGGTGCTTTGAAATGGGCCGGCACTTAGGAACCGTGGGAGGTAGCTAAGAAGCCCGGAGAAGCCAAGGTTCAACAACCATGTTGACGGGGTGTCGGGGTGTTTTCAGGATTTTTCAAGGTTTGGAGCATTTAATCTTCGGGAAACCCTGGCCAATTCAATGCAAATAATTCAGCATGTCAAGGTCACAGCGAGAAATTGTATGGGGATCTGGAGTTCACCTTAAGCCCTCAACCCTCAACGCTCATGAACCGCTAACGAACCTAAAGTATTGTTGCCGAGGCCACGTCTCGGATGAGGTTTGCTTCCAGAAGCTTCCAGAGGCTTCTTCCAGGGCATTCCGGGAGGGGGTTTAGGGCTTCGGATTTAGGTTTTAGGGTCCACGTTAAGATTATAAGATATGAGTTTCAGGGTTTAGGACGTAGAGTTGGTGTCCCTTGGCAAGAGGCGTGTCTTGACACAGAAAGTCACGGGGCGGTCCGTCCTCGAGGGCAGTGCATCGTCAACTAGCCGCGTTGTTCCATTGTGGCCTCCCTTGTTGTGTTCACAGGTCACCACATTTTCGCTTTCCGGCTTTGGTCGGGCCATTGAAACACACAGTACCTTTGCGGGGCGCCCGGGAGGCGGGCGGCGGCGCTCCTAATGTTGCAGTGTACTTGATCATCTTGAAGTAGAAATTGGTTTGGGTGATAGCCTGTGAGATTTTCACGGCAAGTGGGAGTGTCGAAAACTTCCAGTTGAATGGATTCCCTGACAACATGGCGCCATGGCTGTTTAGTGCAGCATGCGCCGTCATCATTGAATAACAGTTGTTGAACTTTCATCTTAAGCCTAAGCCCAAATTCCTAAATCACACACATACTTTCAGTGTGGAGAGACTCTTGGGTAAGGGGCTTTACGAGGCTTCGTCTCTCGTAGGTGACCGCAGCTGGGTCTCCTAGCGATAGATAACCTGTTGGCAAAGTCCACAGAGAGGAGCGAGCCTGTGCCCTTTAGGGTCGCAATAAAGTTGCCTCCTCTTAGTCAAAGATTGAGGGCATGGGGTTTAGGATTTTGGGTTCTCAGTTTAGGGTGGACGTTACGTCATAAAACAGTGCAGCCGCCGTAATGGCCCCAAACCTTGCCCCCTCCGCCACCTGCGTTAGCGGATCTCGTTTGAGGTTGGACGTCGGCAAAAGGTTTTGACCAATGGGGGGGGGGGGGCTCCACTTATTGGACGAACTTCTCCTTTGACGGGATTTCTAGCCTGTAGCATGCTGGCGTTTGGCGTTCCGCTGCCTGGCTGGCAACGTTGGCTGGGAACGGCCCAGAAGACTGTGAGTGCCTCCTGATGTTGGGGGTGGTAAACAAAGAGGGACGATCCACCCGGTTCAACTCGACCCCACTCTGCCCTGCTGCCGATGCAGCTCCCAGCAATTACTGTTGTCAAGGTGTATCGCTTTGCAGGGAGCATGGGTTGGCCTGCTGACATGGAATTCCACCAAAAAACGGTGGGTGGGCGCAGCGTCAGTGGCAAACCTGGTGGTCGAAAGGGAGTCAGGAGTAGCCCGATCGCAACTGGACTGGAAAAGTAGGTTGCTCATCAACGATGTTGGACTGTAGGTCATGCGTCATCGTGTCCTAAGCGTGATGGACACGCGCTTGAGACAAGAACTCAATTGTCATGATGCGTTACACATATGCCATTCTTCCCCTTGTCCTCACGCAGCACCCCTGCTATGCCATTGGCTGAGGCCCCCATTGATGTGGATGCATTCGGCGCTTGGCACACCAGCGTGTTGGTGGTCTACGCTCTTCGAAATTTGGTGATTCGGGCATCGGCGGTCGCAAGCCTGGCATTGGGAACTGCACCCAGTCGCCATCGAAGCTGTCCACGGCAGCTTACCCCCTGTGGCCAGTACGGCAATTGTGGCAGGCATGATCCCATAGTGCCAACATAACGCACATAGGAGTTCATTTTGTTGTGTGTGCGTGCGTGCGAATTTGTGCCCTGGCAAACTGGACTGTCGCAGCGGGACCACAACGGTATCCACCTCCTTTCAAGGGCTCCGAGTCAGAACCTCGAAGAACGCTATGCCGGGCCGCGACCGTTGACATCGAGAGCGTGAAGAGGTTTAAGGGTTGGAGATGCAATACATTGATACCAACTATTGGTATTGCTATTTCTGCTAGTAACTGTTATTAACACTGCTAGTATTGCTAGCGCTTCTTGTACAACTGGTTCATGTACAAGAACCACAAAGCGCCGCCATTGAAGTACATTACCCTAAGTCTTATTATTCGTACAATGCAGTATATGGGCACTACGAGCGGTCCTGCTGTGAACGTTATGGTTTTTCCCAGATATATGTTGTTATTTGGATGGCCCACTTGGAAATGTTGTTCCGAAGTCGGGGCAGGCCAATGCATCATAAACGCAGAAAAATTTGCAGGTCCACGGGAGATGGTGTTGTCAGGCATCGTGTTGCAAATCGTGATAACCAGACATAGCTCGGGCTTTGCGTCACAATGTCCAAGCCGGTCATTTTGGTGTGTTGGCAATCAATCCAAGATTTCCAAGCGCTACGGAGCTCAAGCCGGACGCCATGACCACGGGGATTGAGGGCATTTTCCTAAAGGCATCATGGTGACCAACTTGGGTTAAAGTTGGATGATAACAACGGGAAGAAGTGAGGAATGCTTACCCTCGGCTGCCAAGTGGACGTGAAATTTCGATCCTTAATAATACAGGAGCCGAAGCCAGTTCGCATGGACACTGTACTATGATCACATCAAGACTACGAGGAAGTCATCTGAGTAATCCTTCAGGCTTCTATATCATGGCTTGTTTCTGGCTAGGTACATTACATTTTCGGCCGCTAGTAAAAATTGGCACGAAGATTCTTGCTTAAAGTCATGCCAAATTTCCCTTGTCTCAAACCATGAGCCCTAAACTGCCTAGGCGCTCGACTTGATACCCTGAAGCGTACAGCGTGAACGCCAAAATTCAAGGGCACCATTTGAACGGCCAACGAAGCATATGCAAAAGCCCATAAAGATTCCATTACCTTGTGGTGGTTGGGTATTGTAAGGATTTTA